TGCAGTGTTTTTGCAGCAGCAGGAGTCTGTCCCTGGCTCCCTGTCATAGGGCAGGTGCACGTCCAACTCGTGTTGGAGAAGAGGCAGAGAAGCCCATGGGAAAGATGGTAGCCAAGACCGAGTTGACAGAATAATTCCTTCAATCCCACACGTACTCCCTGCCCAGGAAGAGATGCAGCCTGGCTGCATTAATTGCGCTGCTGGCGGGAAGCACACACAGGCATTGACGATGGAGGGGATAAGAGGGACTGCAGGGTATGACCCGCCCTGAGACGGCAAGCAGCAGCGCGGCCCCTCTCACCGAAAGCTCGACGCTGTTCCTTTGCGTTACGGGTTTCAAACTGACACAAACTGTAGAAGAAATCAAAAACTTGCTTGCTTTGCTAGCATCTGATTTGCTTATTTCTCCATTCTCAGTAGTCAGCTCCATGGTAGCTAATAGCTAAAACAACCCATTTCTGGAAAAAGGGGAAACAAGAAAATTACAGGGCAGATGCAGAAGACCATGTGAAAGGAAAACACCAGATTTTCTTCTCTCAAGTAACGCGTGTATATTTAGATGCACTTACAGTGAACATGTACCAAACCACCACCCTCAATTCAAGTCAAAAATAATAAATAGTATTAGAGACTTTCTTCTGCAATGTTTGCCATTTCGGGGCAGTAGCTACCCCTGAACTTTCTTTGTACGCTTTACTTGCTGTTTCCTCGCTATAAAACTATTACTGTTAATAACCATCCCAGTGATTTCAACTGGAAGATAATTTAGACTGAACATTGCTTTGGTTTAACAGTTGAATATACATAAACGCAGTCACTTGGTTTTATTTACTCTTGATGTCTAGCTGAATAGAGCTGTGCATCAAGGGAAGCAATGGGCCTGATTCTTCATCTCTCTCTATAACCTGTTCACATCATTTCACTGCTGCAAAGTACTCGCAGATTTCAGCAGAAGGCTGACTGGAAACGGTCCACGTCACGTACCGTACCGGTTTCCATCCGAAGGGCCGGCAGCAGCGGGATGACTCCCCACAGCCTGGGGTGTCCCCAGCAGTGGTGCCACGGGAGGAGCCGCGCGGTCGGGTCCCCGCCCGCCTCCACCTTGAGAAGAGAGGGAGAGGCAGAATCGCACCTCCTGTGCCGCCGTACCAAATACGGCTCAGCTGAATTCAAGAGCTAGCCTCAATCTGTAACTCTGGATCTCACAAAAACACTCTTACTAAGAATAATTTTCCCATCACGTGTGCGGTTTTCACAGAGTGTTAACAGACCCTGCTTCGTGGCCCTACGTAACCAGCTCTTCTCCAGACGAACTTAGATGTGCCGTTCTCACTCTCTTTAGCAGAAAGGGCATAAAGTAGTGCGCTGTCAAGGCCAGTCACCGCACACAGGGATACCTGGTATTACAAAAAAATCAAGCCGGTTACAGAAGATCGCACCGACCCAGAAACTCAGTCCAGAAATCGAAAAAGAGCTTTTTCAAACAGAACCCGAAGACAACTTTGCAAGGTTAATACGGAGCCCTTAGGCTAGCAGGCGTCTTGTTTTCATTATTCTCTGCCCAGGAAGCATTTATCGCTATGAATTCATTGAAAATTTTGAAATACAGTAAACTGGAGAGAGCAGACTTGCAGGAAAACCTCTCCCTTTGCTACAATCTGTTCAGGAGAGAAAGGAAAGGATATTTGTATGCGCGTGTAGGAGAGAAAGAGGTTTGAGGCGGGGGAGTATACCCAGAGGAAATACAAATACCATTTCACAGTGGAAGTGTGAGTGCGAGAACGCGGTATCTGTATTTTATCTAATATGTGTGCAGTTTCCATCAGTGCATAAAGGAAAACTAATCCTGCTAATTTAAAACAGCTACAATGACTTGCAAAAATGTAAACAAGCTGCTATTGAAACTTCAGGGAAAATTGTTTGAAAATGGATTGCCTTTTTGACATTTAAGGCAAAGGGACAGAAGTTCTCTTACATTATCCTACCTGAAAAAAGCACTTTTCGTTACTTTTAGAACTATAACAGCATTGTTCTATTATGATGATATTTTTATTTAGCTTTTAACATCTCATGATTCTAAAATTTTGGAAAATATGTGTTAATCTCAGCAGAAGTAGAAATAATTAAGTTTGCAAACAACATCTGAGTGTGGGGCTCGGTTAGCAGCAGGTGCCGTTTCCAGCGCGGTGCCCGGCGCTCTGCCAGACCACAGGTTCCACAGGATGTGAAACCAGAGAGCTGCGATCCTGACACGTGCCCCAGGACTGGTGTGGGGAAACACAACAGATCTGTTTATGGTCGCCATTCCGCACATGCAATTACTTCAGCATTGTCTTAGCCGTGCCACGAGTTAGAAATGTTCCCAACTTGACTTTACAACCTGGCTTACAGCGAATATCATTTATCCCTGAGACATTCCTTCGCTCCAGTTTGCTTAGTTGCAGAATGAGGTCCATACCATCTCAGAGGAAGACGGAACTTCAAGGCAGATGTTGAAAGAAGTATAGCAGATGTTTAATGGAGAAACAGATTTCTGCTATAAAATGCACGCCATCAAAAGTCAATAAAACTTACAAAAGGCAAACTGTATTTAACTAAGAGGATGCAAATATCCAGGATTTAAATGCCAATCTGTAATTTGTGACTTTAACCCAAGAGACTAGCAATAGTGCCATTAGCAATGCCGTTTAATCTAAAGAAAATGGCATTTCAGGAAAGATTTCCTGTCCGTATTTTTGTGCTACACACCTTTCAGGGCAGACCTGACAACAAGCTGCATGTTGGGACTGCATCACGCAACATGAGCCCCCGCATTGCTAATCCAGCAGAGGAGTTTTACTCCTCAGCAGCCCCACCTCTTCTGGTAAATCTCACCTGCCTCTGGAACGGTTTCCTTGCATTCATTCAGCTTAGGAATTGAAATGAAAGCGGGGGGGTGGGGGCGGGGGGGGGAGGAAAAAAAAAAAAAATCAACGAGAGGCTTAGTCAATATGACTAACCTAATGCATTAGGTTGTTTCGCTCAATTACCTTTCTTTTCCATCGCTTAATTTAGATAACCATCGGGTAAAAGAGGAAAAAAATAGCTATATACAGTTAATGCAACAGAAGGTATCAACTGATTTAAGCAGCTGGCCAAAGCACTTAGCAATGCATCTATCCCTTGGTTAAATCATTCTCCTAGACCTGCATAATACATGCATGACTGGTATTTTTATCTAGAGCATTAAACCTAATGGCTGGTTAGTTGAAATACAAAACTGTTCCGAACAAATTCATGAAGTTCAGAGAGCTGGTGTAGGTCCCAGAAATACCCATCTGTCAATACATTTTAGCGGTCCCTGCAGCCTCGTACTGAAAAATCTGAAGACTCTGCATTTATAAAGGGCTGGGTACATATTGGCAGTTGCTTGGGTTTAACTATGTATTGATATAATATTCTGAAAATTAGGCGAAAATTGTTTTCGGAATCGTAGATGTAATAGCTCAGCCAACTACAGCAAACAGCTAACTATAGTTTTTTTGTGTTTTCTTTCTCTACAGGTATACCCAGTATTTCCAGTATTGGTAGTAAGTAATAAAACCAGTATTGTTTTGCATTGTCATTCAGCTTCTTGGATCTAATTTCCCAACATCCTTTTCTGTTGTAGATAACGTTTCTCTGAAAACGTGCTCTATAGTGCAGGGCCTACGTGTTGGCCTTCCTCTGTCGCATTAACGTCTAACTGTCCTACGTGGTCAGAGACAATGTCACTCCGGACCACACATCTGCCTTCAACTGCAGATTGGCTGATCGGTTCTGATCAGCAGATGAAAACTGAGTGCTATAAAACTGAGAGTTACACAGAGAATTAAGAGTCCCTTCCACAGAAAATATTTGTTGAGCATCTTTAAAAAAAAAAAGTGTTTGCTAATAACAGAGAAGTATCGGACCATTCATTTTCATGCGAGTATGTGCGTGTGTGTAAATTCGAAGAGCAAATGGAAGAGTTTATAAATGGAAGAGTTTTCATTTTTAAGGAGTAGCTTAGCAAATGCAGTGTTCCTGCTGGAATCTTTGCATTAACTCCAGCAGCCTTCGAACTGGGCTTTACTCCACAAAATAAACAGAATTGTGTTCCTTCACAAAAACCTGCTTTCCTGCATGCAATTAAAGCACCAAAATATTACACTTAAACTATAACAAAACCATTACACCGTTACGTAAAGAACTAGTATATCAATGAAATAGATGATTAATTAAATAAAACACTCGAAGGGACTAAGTGCCCAGCAGCTCAGCTGTGAGTCTTGCTGAGTTCCATGGCTGAGAAGTGCACACAGTCATGACACGTTCGCTGATTACAAACAAAGCAGGCGGGTAGAAATGGGATCCTGCTGCGGCCGACTGAAAGAATATTCCCCCCAGCCTCAGCCTTGCATAGGCATTAAACACAACTTGTGTGATGCAGGACTAACACAATGATAAAATATCGCAGTAGTAAAATGCAATTTGCCATACCTGATATCCAACTGAAAAGCTTCTAATAATTTGGGTAAAACTGCCTCGCTCCTTACGATGCAGGCTCAGGTCTGTCAATTTATAAATCAGCTCAGTTTACTTAAGCTCATGAATGGCGCTGATTTGTTAAGCTCTAGACAGCAAGTTAAATGCCATCAAAACTAGCCTCCGTGCAAACGAGAGCAGCGTTAATAGCTGAATGCCCTGGCATCTGGTTTGCAGCTTCAAATAGTGAAACAGCGTCAATGACAATAACGTGCAAATGAAAGCCCTCAATCTTAATAATGTAATTTTCCCGCTGTAGTGTCTCCTTCGGCATTTGCATGACTGCAAATGCATAGTGATAGCTGTTTTCAAAACCTCGTGTTTATACATGTATTTTATAACCAAAGAAATGGACTAAATGAAAGAGACGTTTATGTCACTGTTCTCCGGAATATTCCTGCCATTAATAACAGAAACGGGATGAATGGGAAAATAGCTCTTTGGAGTTCGGTTGTGCTGTAGTTTCGTAGTACTGTGTTGCATGGACTATATGGTCGTGTTTTCACTTCACACTCCATACAGCCTTCGTCACCACATCTACCACTTCTGAGCATCAGCAGATGTTGGCCTTTGAAAACTTAATAGGGAAACTCAAATACCTTTTAAACACTGGTGACCTGAAAGGATGCGTTGTTGACCTCTTTGTATTTTACACCGGGGTGATTAGTACAGTTTATCTATTACGAACGGAGAAAATTCTGTTTAACATTCCATAGGAAGTACGAGAGTTTCTGCAAGTCTATGCTTGATCTTTAATCTGCTGTAAATGTCTTGGAACAATATGTGGTAGAATTCAACAAATTTCTTTACCCACCTGGAAAGGATGAACCATGAGCATCTCTTCATGAGCACAAGTAAATACTGATACTCTGCTTGGTTTTTTCATGTGTTTTTTCTTAAATAGCTCAGGGGGAAAATAGTTCTACTTGCACAATGTTCTGAACATCTTTCCAATAAGATAGAAATAGCAGAATTATCGTTAAACGAGGATAGAACCCATAAATTTATCCTGGTGTCTAAGAGAATTTAACAGAAGTACAATTAACACATAAAAACAAACAAGATTAATTAGTTGTGGCTGCTTTAATGGATTCTGCATGATTTCTTCTTTTGTCTATGCTAATACAATGTTTGTGTTCATATCGGCAGAGTTTTTCCCCATCTGGGGACAGGGAGTTACTCTCAGGAGATACAGTTTGGGGTTTATTTTGCCTGGCAGCACACACTAACGGGGCAAGGAGGAGGGGGGTATTGGCTTTTGTGTGCTTCGAGCTTTTCCTAGTGTATAAGGAGGATATAATAAGGTTGGGGCGGGGGGTTATGAAGACTGAACTGCCAGCATACAAAGAAGATGCCGCTGCAAGCGAGGTTCATTTAACACTTTTAAGACCGCTTTCGCAAGCAAAGAAAAATAAAATATATTTACCTCTGTGCACATATATGTATCATTCTCTATTCCTTTTTTTCCTCAAAGGATCTTGTATTAAAGCAGCTCATCTTAAAGTTTGAACACAAAGAAAGAGTGGTCATTAAGTAAACATCCTTTCTGATCATCAAGAAGAAAAAAAAATTTTTAAAAAATCAGAGCTTTCCCATTAAGGTCATTTGTACCTGCTGTTGTCTATCAGTTGAATAATAGGTTCTCTGGTCATTTCCAGCATTCTTGATTCCAACGCTGGCCCTTTCAGCATTTTTCAGCCATGTCTGGAAAAATACTGGTGAAAGTGGTAGCAATTAATGAGTCCCAAAACCATTTCGTAATTTTAAGCAATGCTTATATACAGTATGTAAATATTCTGAAAACTACATGATTTTCCTTGCTAAAATAATGGCTGTACAATTTTACATAGACCAGTGCATCAAAATGTTCGTTATTGTGACCAAATAGCAAAGTTACTAATCTGTACATGTATGCCTTCAAAAAGTTGACTCCTCTGAACTGTAGCTTCTATCTTTATTCCTGTAAAGCACAACTCCACTAATTATGCTAATCAGTTTGTTATAAAGGGTATAATTGGATACAGGATAGGACAGCCATGATGTGCAAATAGCTCTGTGTGGGTGATTATCACCTTAAAGCCTGCTGGTGGCAGATGAGTCAGAGTTTAGAGACAGAGCGTGCACCCAAGAGCAGGATGCAATCGTGATAATCAAATGGTATGTTCTGCTTTGTTCTCTATGTTTTTGTTCTTCTTTATAGCCAATTTCAAATTAAGAGAACAACTTTTTTTTTTTTTAATGATAACGAATGCAAGACACACAAGTGAAAAACAAGACTGAATGGGCACTCTTTTATTTTATTGTTTTCTTAACCTTGAAAGATCTAGTAGGTATTTTTCTGGAACTCAAATAGTGTCAGGATGAGTGTAGCTTTATTTGTTTTACTTATTTGTTATGAAATTTTAATGTGGCAAATTAAAAGGTTGTGAGAGCAAATACTAGCAGATTTTTTTTTTCTTTTTTGTAACAACACAAAGTATTTTGGACTTCATTTTGCCCCCTTGCGGTGACCGAGAAGTTCTCATTAAATTTACAGCCATGGGATCAAAGCCGTTGCAATGCCAAGCTCTGGACTAGAGTCTATACACAACACCCACACGTGTCGGTAGGATATAAACATGCATAACTAGGTCGTACATTACTTCTCTATTATTATTTGAGGTCAAGTTTTACAGAGAGCACTGTACTGTTGAGAGACCATTAAGATGTTTATTTCCTTAGAACGTTTAAATATTGTCTTCAGACTATGTATTATTTTGGACATACTAGCAAAATGTTCTCATTTCAATTCAATTTTATCCAAGTCTGACTTTTTAATAAATAATACTGTTAATCAGGCTCCTAGTCTAAGGCAATCACCTTATCTAAGTAACTGATTATAATATCGAGCCAGTAACAGTACTTGTTTTCCCTCCTTTACTTTAATACTTTGAAGCGCTCAGAATTTTTCACTTTAACAATTAGATTTTCCATTATATTAAAACATTACTGGGCTGAAAGAAAGTACTGATAGCCTACGTGGTATAATGCACTCATTTGAACCCTGGATCTGAAAGAAATTTAACATTCCAAAGAAAAGACATTGCGAGTAGTTTATTTACCTGGTAGGATTCATAACAAAGCCGGTTTTCTTCCGTACAGCTAGGATTTGACCCGTGAAGATCAGTAAGCAGAGCGCCTGCGCTGACCCCGGCGCTGAGCAGAAACCGTCTCTTTGCGGAGTGATTTCTAGTGCAGGGCCAGAAACGACCAGCGCTGCTCCGGGGAGCACCGACTGGTTGTTGGGGGGGGACTTGGGGGAGCCTTTGTTTCAGATTTTGCTTTGCCAGATCCACCAATTTGAACAGATAGGAAGAGCCATTCTCACCAGTCTAGTAGGCATGGCCGCTTACAGCTTAGTGTTGTTTCTCATTCTTCATCCCACTTTACCTTCATCATCTTGGGTTAGTTAAAAACAGCGTATCAGTCAAATTGTCTTTTCAGCGCCTTTTTATTTGCTGTAATATGTGGAAAATTACTTAGCTCGCAGTTGTGTTTGTTTTAACCATTAATAAACAATCAAGTGATAGTACACCGTAGAAAATAAGATACCAACATTTCAATATGTACCGTGGTACCTGTGCAAAACATCTGGCACTTGCAATATGCAAGTTCAGCTACAGTTACTCAGGGAAGTTTGTAGAGAGCAGACACGATCCATGAAGATATTTAAAAATCTAATTATCTATAAAGCTTGGGGAGCCATTGCTAGGAAAAAACGCACTTCTATATTTTACCCTCCTCTCTTTTCCTTTCTGTCCCTTAGACGTGTAATCAGTTTATTTCATAGAGTGTAAGGGAAGAATGAGGTTTCCAAATCAGCATTCTGATTTTTAAAAAAAGATCTTGATTTACTGTTCTTCATCAGTTGTGAATTACTGTACAATAATCCCAGTCGACCAGCCAATTTCAGCATCTTTGTAGGAAAAAGCAGAATCAATCAAAATAAAAAGGAACAACCCCGCAAACTATCAATAGAATAATT